AGATGAGGGCAGGGTGCTGAGGTAGCAGCCGGCGGGAGGAAGATGAGGGCAGGGTGCTGAGGGAGCAGCCGGCGGGAGGAGGATGCGGGCAGGGCGCTGAGGGAGCAGCCGGCAGTGCCCGCCTGTCCCCGGCCGCGAGCGGAGCTCTTTTCTGCGGAGCCCTCCCTGCCTCGATCGCTCCGTGCCGGGCCCCGCTGCCTCCCCTGGCTGTGGGGGCCGCTGGCCGCCCGCGCCGGCAGGGAGCGCTCCCGGCTGCGGCGGAGCATTGCCGTCCTCGCTTCTTAACAAAGGCAGTGCGCTGAAGAGTTAACTCATTTACGGAGTGTGCTATTAGTCTGTTTTCGTGTATTTTCATGGATTCTAAAGACATTTCGTGCACTTTCCTGTATAAAGTAGTATCTGCAGTGACAGAGTAATAAATCAGGGAAACAACAAAACAGAAATTAAATAGAAATGTAATTTTTTTTTCCCCATGGACTTACTAAATAACAGTGTTAAACCAATTGCAGTGGAGAGATAGGAGAATGTCTTGAAATCTGTGCAATGAATGCATAAAATCTGTGCAAGAAATGGATGAAATCAGTAATTTCACTGGAGCACCACCTTTGAACATTAACATAGTTTACAGACATATATAAAAAAAGTAAAAGTCACTAAATAAAAAAAATAAAATTAAAAATTATAATAAAAAAATTGTAAGTGGCTTGTAGTCCCCAAGTGTGCTGGAGGAACTTGGAAGGCAGAAACAAGAGCTGATTATCGGAGTGATCCCACCTAGCATTCAAGCACTAGATAACACCACTGGAACTGTTAAAATGCCTCACAGTCTTAAGAAGTAGTTTCATTCTTTCATATCTCTTTGACCAGAACCACTTTTCTCATGGGTGCCACACATTCAGAGCATCCCAGAGGTGTGAGTCCAAATGTGGCAAGGGTAAATGTAAAAAAGGAAAGTGAAAGAAGACTTCTGAAGAGATTTGTATCTTCCAGTTTTCACTGAACTTGTGCCTTGGCTCACACAGATAAAAGGAAACAAACAGTTCTGTGTTCTGGTCCATTTTAAGTTAAATGGCTTGAAACTTCTAAAAATCTTTCTCTTGCTTTTGTGTTATGCACAGGTAGGCTTCACTACATGAGGATTATCTTGTCCATATGAGCTGTTGGTGTCATCATGTAATTTACATACTAATTGCTCGCAATCTTTAGCAGTAGAAAAGTTAACTGTCCACAATTCAAAGGATTTCTTAATTATAAAAGGAAAGTACTTCATTGCAAAGAGTGTAGCCAATAATTAGCTACTGCCAAGTGTCAAAACACTTATATAAAACGAACGTTAACTGCTGGGAACAGAAGGAAGTTGATTTCTTCTGTGGCAGTTTGAGGCTTCTGGCATGAAAAAGAAAATAATGGTTCACATATTCTGTTAGCTTCAAAAGTAACAGCATTTTCTGTGTGGTGATGGCACACAGGAGAAATAGTGTAGGATCTCTGGTACTGAAAATTCAGAGGTGCTCTCATTCATACACAGCAGGACCATTGTCCACATGGGTTCTGAGCATTTCTGAGGGCTTGTGTCACAGCTTGCAGCCAGTGGGACTTTTCCTTTGTGCACACATTCATCCTTTGTGTCTATGGGCAGCAGCAGAAATTTGGTGGGTTTTAACCACCCCTTGATCGTAGCCTCTCCTGTGCCATCACCTCACAAAGCCAGAATGAAAAGGTTAAGCCTTTTTAGCAGGGTAAATGTTCATGTTTCTCTTGGATTTGACTGGAGGTTTTCTCATGAAAATTGTAAATGTGAAACTCCTTCAAATTTGTCCATTTGCTGTATGAGAGTCCAGCTGGTTTTGGTTTTGCTGTGTGCAGCTGCAGATACTTCCAAAGTTTAGAAAACCATAATAACTTTTAGATATGTGCCTAAAAGGTTTTATACAGACATCTAATGTGACATTTGCACACTTTTTGTACCACAGCTTGGAGATTTATCAAAATACTAGAAATAACTTTTTATATTAGTCCACCAATGAGAACATTCTCAGCTTTTGTTGTTTTATGTACATTGGATTAGGAATTTTAACTTTTGTTTTCAGATCTATCTCACCCATATTTTAAATTTCCTTCTTAATATTTGTCATATATTTTATTTTCAGTACTATTTCTTGTAATTTCATGTATAGCTTCAGTCTCTTACCTTTCATAACTTCTGAATAGCTATTTTATGGTGACATGTCATGCTGCACATGCACTGCTAATGTAAATATGGTTTTTTGTGTTGATTAAGGTTTAAAGTTCTTGGGGGCATCTGTTCAGGTTTGCATGTATAATTTCTTTTCCTACAATGTTTTACTTAGGCCTTTTCTGAAATGCCTGTATTATATTTTCTTTACCTTTTTGTACAGTGAATCCCTCTGGGCTGCTTTCTGAGAGCTCTAATTATCTTGCTGTCTCAAAGACAATTACATAATTAAGTGGTTTTCATTTTCATTTTGAATTTGGTAATTATAACAAAAACATTGAAAAGTGCATCAGCTGCAGTATGAAGAAATTCAATCAGTAAAAGAAAATGTACCTAGAAGAGAAACACAGTTGAAAAGATTCTACAATTAACCAATAAATGAAATGAAAATTAAAAAGAAATAGAAAGAATTGAGCTTTCTGGACTCTTTGAGACTGTTACTTTAAATTATAAACTTTTTGTACCTTTGATGGTTGCAGAAATGATGCAAAATTGGTGCTCAAATAAAAATTAATAAATATAATTGCAGTAATTAAACATCCCCAAGTATGGTAGAATAGAGTGCTGAAAGAATAGATGTTTATTGTTTCATAATTTTCCATATTTAATATTTTAAAGATTGATTACTTTTTTGCTCTCCCTACTTCTAGCACTGCCTGAGTCACGTGTGTGTACTTTTCATGTTTTATTGAAACAGATGGCATATCTCGTCTTTCAAGGCTCAGGCAAGGGGGGCGTAGGAAATAGGGTAGGATTAAATTATTTTGAAACAAGAAGACATCTTTCTCATATCCTATTTCTCATACACCTGTTAGTCTTTCAAGCAAGCAGTGACAGTAAACATTCAGAAACAGGGAGTGTGTTTTGGTTGTGGTGTTCTGAGAGCCCTGCCCTGTTCTTTGGTATTCAGTTCCTATGACTACCTGTTTTTCAAAAACAGAAATCTAAAAGTTATCAGCTGAGCTTGACAGAGCTCAACAGTATTACTCCTACCAGCCACAAAGGGAGAAGATTAGGCATTTTTTCCAGCTTGATGAGAAAACCTCTCCCTTAAACCCACCAAAGTCCCAGTGCTCAGTGCTTTTGAGAATCAGGTCATCTTTAAAAGCATATAAACATGAGTTCCGAAGCCTGATTTTCAGCTTCCCTTTGTGAAGATGTTGGACAAGCTGAATTTGTACAGAAATACTACAAAGTCAGGGTTTCCAGAATTTAATATATGTATATATGCTCTGAGGAAGGTTTGGAATGCTGTGAGTGAAATGCATTTTCTTCTGGCCTCTGGATTCTGTATTTATCATACATATATATATGAAACATTATCTGGGGACCATGCAGTGCAGGGCTTGTGACTGGAACAGTAGTGGCACGTCTGGAAGTCCAGGTGAAAGAATGCCTTAAAGCAGTTAAGAGTTCCTGATTCAGTCAGAAGTTTCACATACAGTTATGCTGGCAGCATCAGTGGATGTTCAGGCAAGTATTTGTGCTGTTTGATGAATTTCCATTGGATCCTGCAGAAATGTCTGCTCAAATGCATGCTGAGATGCTTCTATCATAGAATTGAGACCTTCAGGACATGTTTTGAAATGTATTTTAAGAATGCTGTTATTCTAAAGCTATAATTTACTTCCAGATTTATGGTAAAAAAAGTGAAAAATGAAGTGTCTGAAATTTAGCATTTAAGTCAATCTCTGAGTTACAGTGAAACCCAGAGTGAAACCTATCCTGGTAGTCATGAGCGTCTAATTCCTTCATGTGACCAGAGAAAGGATTAAATGGGTCAGGGGTCTCAATCAGTAAAACATATCCTGTTTTCCCAGAGGTTTCCAGAGACCTTGGTGCATACTGGATTATTTTGATATGCAAAGCATCAGAAATTTGATCTGGCAAAATGAAATGTGTACAGTTCAGAGCTGTGCATCTCTAGTTCCATGGCTGTCACATGGCTGTGATGTGTGGCCCATTAGCTAGTCTGTGGTGTTCTGTTAAACAATAAAAGTAGTAATGTTTTCAGTTTCAAGGCAGGGGAGCAATCCATGAGAAACTTGAAAAAATTTGTGGATATTTGCCTCCAGAACCTGGGAAGGTGGTTTGAAGGACTAAATTCTTGTGTGATTTTTTTGGGGGCCCTAAACATGCATGTTTCAGATTACATTTCATATCAGAAATTTAATAACCACAAGCTAATATTTCTCTAGTTTTCCCATAGCTACAGTTTATAGTTGTATCATAGCTTTTATGGTAAAACATGCTTCAGATATCCAATTTTTATTCAACATTCACAAGCCCACATTTGCCACTCAGTTTTCAGTGAGCAGCCGCTGCTGGCAGAGTGCCAAGAAGGTGTCAGTACAAATTCACATTTGAGAAGACAGAAGATCGCATGGGCATGTAAAGATTCATTATTGATCAGAACTTTGTCTCCACAAATTCAGGTTATTATTTTCACTGGAGTCAGGAGTCATACTGCTTTGATGAAGAAGTAACTTGGACCTTATCCAGCTATTGATATTTCTAAAGTGATGATCTGGCTCTAAATCTGGCCGCAATGATGCATTGCCTCGCCACACAGATCTTATTACATGTGCCTGTCATTAGTAATGCTTCTGACTTCGACTTTTGAATGCCTTGAACACGGAGCCTAGTGG